ATTCCTGCTCACCGCTCAGGAAAAAGTAGCACATTTCAAACAACTGCAGCTCTCCAGGGAGGCAGGAGAAGCACAGGCCCTTGAAAGTTTCCACGTCTGCAGAGGGCTCCAGGAAACAGCTCGATCCTTTCCGTCTGGGCTCGCGCCGGGCTGAGAAAGCCGCGACAGCAGAGGAAGCAGCAGACAAATAGGAGCCGCGTGTCCTGACCCTGCAGGACGGGGCACCACGACCGTCCCACTGCTCAACTGCAGCAAAAAGCAAAATCAGATTATAAAGAAGCATTCGCTCTGCAATGCAAAGGGTGATTAATGAAACGAAGAGTGTTAGTAGGAACAAATTAAAGCCAGGTCAGCAATAACCTGGCCTTGCACTTATCTTGCCTGCTGCAGAAGCAGAAAAAGGGAGAAAAAGTCGCACAGGCAGAGACCACCTTTTTATGATTCACCCAAACAACCTGCTTCTGCAGGGTGGGAACACTTTGCTCCCTGTATCGACAGCATTTTTTTCCCCCAACTTATTCAGATCCATTTAACTTACCTTGTGAATCAGAATCCTCTGTCTCTCAGTTTCCTTGCTGTTGCTTAGAAAGATTCATAATATAAAAGCAGCTGTTCATTCAGGTTTTTTTAGTCTTCAGTGGCTGCTGCAGCTTCCTAGCCAGAGTCCAAATGAAACACTGAATGTCAGCCCGACTCCTTATGAAACCCAGCAGCTAGGTTGTTTGCAAAAGGAAGGTTTTTTTTTCTTGTTTCTTTGTCTGCATCAACTTGTGCTGGGTTTCTGATCTTTTGTCCTGTTACAGTTTCCTTAGCACTTGCAGCTAGTCTGTTGGGTCGTACAGCGCTTCTCATAATGATAGAAATGAAGACCAAAAAATTCATTAAAAAAAAAAAAACACCAAAAACCACAGACCTAAAACCACAGTCAGTGTTCCAGCCAAGGCAGAAAGTGCTGTGATCAGATGGAAATAATTTTCCTTTGGGCAATTTCAGCATCTTTTTAGGCAGGGGAAAGAAAAAAAAACCCCTAAAAACAGAACAAAAGCAGCTCTGGCTTTGTGCACTAGCTGCAAAAGCCCCTTGATGTGGTGCAGCAATGGAAACTGCCTGTGCACTGACTTCAGGTAAAGGACAAGTGCTAGAAGAGGATCCCTACTGAAAAATAACTGGTGTCAGTTTGCTCTTATAAAAGCAGAACTGGAGCAAATCTCAGGAAGACGATGTGCAGCTACAATATTTGGAAGAGAATTGGAAA